GATTTCTGTGGCACCTATAACTATGTTTGATTTGATACCTACAGCTGTGGGTGATAGGTGGAAAAAGTCCCAGGCAATCAACGTCACTCTGTACAGCTGGGATCCTGGATGCTCACCTGCCATTTGGTACATGTCTGACCTTGGAAACAAAGGGGCCCAAGAAGGGGAGTTTGGCTTGATTTGGACCAACCTTCCCCATCACTGGAACCCACAGTGTCGGATAAAAGAGAGGCCAAAGCAGAGTGCTCAGAAAACCCAAACCTGGTTCTTGTCATGGTTTTGCCCCTGATTATAAGTATGATGTTCAGTGAAACATGCTCCTGCCAAGCTTCAGTCTCCTAACATGTAGGACAAAGCCAGTGCCACCTGCCTCCTGGGAATGCTATGAGGAGCAAAGAGGTTACCTAAGCACAGTGGAAGCAGTAGTAATAGTCTGGGTACTTTCCATGTGCTAAAGATCATTTAATCCTCACAGCAGCTCCATGAATTAGGTACTATTGTTATAGACAAGGTAACAGGGGTAAATAACTTGCCCCACGATCACATAGTTAACACACAGGCAAGCCAGAATTTGAATTCACGCAGTTTGATTCTGGAGCCCCAGTCTTTGATTTTATACTATTTATACCAAGATAGAAAATAGCACGATGCCTGGCACATTGTAGATGATCAATAAATGGTTAGCCTCTCCCTTTGGTTTCTCCTAAACATATAGGATTATGCTGAGAAATTGACAGAAAAGTATATGTGAAAGTTCTCTGAAAACCATAAAGTCCAATGAAAATACAGAACATTAAAGAAAATGGCTTTATTATTTCAAACTATACTACAAAGCTACAGTGACCCAGAACAGTGTGGTACTGGTACAAGAACAGACCCACAGGTCAATGGAACAGAATCGAGAGCCCAGAAATAAACCCACACATATTTGGTCAATCAATACATGATAAAGGAGGCAAGAATATACAATGGGGAAAGACAGTCTCTTCAATAAATGGTGTTGGAAAAACTGGACAGCTACCTGCAAAAGAGTGAAACTAGATCATTTATACCATACACAAAAATAAACTCAAAATGGATTAAAGACCTAAATATAGGACCTGAAACCATAAAACTATTAGAAGAAAACATAGGCAGTAAACTGTTGAACATCAGCATTACTAATTTTTTTCTGACTATGTCTCCCAAGGCAGGGGAAACAAAAGCAAAAAGAAGTGGGATTACATCAAACTAAAGCTTCTACACAACAAAGGCAACAATAAACAAAACAAAAAGGCAACCTACTGTATGAGAATATATTTGCAAATGATATAGCTGATAAGGGACTAATAATATCCAAAATATAAAGAACTCAGATAACACAAACGAAAAACTCGATTAAAAACTGTGCAGAAGACCTAACTAGACATTTTTCCAAGGAAGATATACAGATGGCCAACAGTTCCATGAAGAGATGCTCAATATCACTAATCATCAGGGAAATGCAAATCAAAACCACAATGATCCATCACCTCACACCAGTCAGAATGGCCGATATCAAGCAGGACAAGAAATCACAAGTGTTGATGAGGATGTGACGAAAAGAGAGCCCTCCTCCACTGCTGGTGGAATTGCAAATTGGTGCAGCCACTACGGAAAGCAACATGGAGCTTCCTCAAAAAACTAAAAATAGAAATACCGTAAGATCCAGCAATGCAACTTTGGGGAATTTACCTAAAGAAAACAAAAATCACTAATCTGAAAGATATATGCACTCCCATGTTTATCATCACTTATTTAGCATTATTTACAATAGCCAAAATATGGAAACAATCTAAATTTTCTTTGATAGCTGAAAGGATAAAGAAGATGTGTACATATATACAATGGAATATTACTCAGCCATTTATAAAAAGAAATCTTGTCATCTGTGACAACATGGATGGATCTAGAAGTTATTACATAAGTGAAGTAAGTCAGAGAAAGGCAAATACCATGTGGTTTCAACTTACATGTGGAATCTAAAAAACAAAACAAACAAACAAACAAATAGACTCATCAGCACATAAAACAGACTGGTGGTTGCCAAAGAGGAGAGGAGAGGGGAGACGGGTGAAACAGGGAAAGGGAAAAATAAGTTAGTGAGAACATTTGATATCTTGATATGGGGGATGGTTATGTGAGTGTGCACACATCAAGCTGTACACTAAAACTTGTACATTTTAATGTATGTACCTCAATTTTAAAAAAGTAAAGGATTCAACCAAAAGCTATATTTACAAATACATTGAAAGTAAAAAATGCTTGCATTAGTTTTATAAAAAACCAGATAGAGAAATACGCTAATCATTTACTTTAAGATACTGGAAAAGAACTGAACAACCATAATGATGTAAGAAAGTATACAAGAAAGCTCTAAGAAAGAAGGGGATATAAAGTAATGGTGGTTTTATTTATAGGACAGTGAATTATAAATTACAAAGAGAAAACTGACAGGGAAAGCCAAGGTCTAGTCCTTTGAGAAAAACCTAATGCAACTATCATTCTTTAAAAATGCCTTTATTGAGGTATTATTCATATACCATACAATTCACTTAAAGGATACAATTCAGTGGTTTTTTGTATATACAGAGTTGTGCAACCATGTCCACAACCAATTCGAGAGCATTTTCATCACCCCAAAAGGAAACCCTGTCCCTATTAACCATGATTCCCCTTCTCTGTCTCCTGCGCTCTCCTCAGTCCCTGGCTACCAGTGATCCAGTTCCTGTCTCCACAGGCTTGCCTATTCTGGACACTTTCTTTAATGGAATCATAACGTATATGGTCCTTTGTGACTGGCTTCTTTCAAGGTTCATCCATGTTATAGCACATGTCAGTACTTCGTTCCTTTTTATTGCTGAATAACATTGTACACAGCATTGTTATTAAATGTATTTACTTGCTTCATAGACTTTTAGAGCTGGAAAAAACTTTAGAGACTGAATCTAAACCCCACCCATTTTCCTGATAAGAAGACAGTGGCCTGGAGGTTAAATGGCCTAGCGGAGATCTCCTGGGTAGGTGGTGGCAGAGCCCAGCCTGCAGCCTTGCAGCTAAGCACGCAGCTTATTGGTGAGGGACCAGCAGAATCATTTCTGCAAATATTGGTCTAATATCATTCATTCAACAAATCTATACTGGTGGTCCCCGGTGGGTGAATTACTGCGTGAGGCACTGGAGACCTGGGCGAGCGGGACAGATAAGCTCCCCGCTCCTTGTCTCAAGCATATGTTCTCCGGGGGAGGCAGAATAAACCATAAACCCCTGAGTGATCATAGTAATGCGCACTGAATAAAGTGCACAAAGGGAACAGGGAAAACAGGAGAAAGAGGACGGAGTGGGGGCTGGGGTGGCACTGGCAGGGGCGGTGGGAGAGGCGACAGGCCCAACTGTACACAGTGCCGTAGGAAAGGACTTGGCTGGGAAGGGCCTCTCTGAGGAGCGGGTTTTAAGCAGAGGCCTGGAGAAGGACAAGGACCAACTTTTGACTATCAGGGAGAAGAAGGCGTCTGGCAGGGGGTACAGCACGCGCAAAGATCCTGAGGTAGAGACAAGCTCAAAGTGTCGAGGGACTCAAATAGGTGGAGCAGAGTGAGAGAGCAGGTGGTGCGATTTGGGGCTGCAGGGGTCGGCCCAGATCACAGTGGGGGCCCTTTGGCTTCTTTTCTCACGACTCTCAGAACTAACTGAAGGTTGGAGGACCTGTGGGAATGGAGGTCAACAGCTTCCAGTTTCCTTCCTGTAAGATAAACTCCACTTACCACAGGAAGCAGAAGAGGCCCTGAATCTCTAGCAAGACTTCTGAGGACAAAAGAATTACATCGTCAATAAGGGTGATGTAACTGTGTGTCACCCTCAGGCTGAATCAGAAGATAAGGAAAACAGGGAAATGAAAAAATACAGACATACTAATAAGGAATGCTTATAATATGGTATAGCTGCATAACGGAACACAATGCAACTCGCAAAAAGCGTGAGGTTTACTCCTTCAGCACTGAAGTGGAAAGCTCTACAATTAGTTAAGTAAAAACAAACAAAAAGGTGCAGAGCTCTGTGTATAGTAGCTCATCATTTGTATAAAAAATGGCAGGAGGGATAACATGCATTTGCTCATATATCCATAAAATCTCTCTGGAAGGACACACATAAAGTACATCTAGGAGGGGCTGACTTGTTCGTCTCTGTCCATCCCCCGCCCCGCCCAGCAGCATGCATCCTGGGGGGAAGGGTGAGGGTCTCCCCTGTCCTGTTTACTGCTGTATCTCCATCACCTGTGACTGGGAGGCTGGGGAGGGATGCGTGGGAGGGGATGTTTCACTATCTCCTCCTACATTGTGTCCAAGTTTGAGATATGTGAATGTATTTTCTATTCAAAGAAATTAAATCAAGAAAACAAAGAACAATGAGGGGTCTAGATCTCAGAGCTGAAGGCCTGTGTGCCTGCCTCCCAGAGCGCCTCCAGCCCCCCAGCCTCTAACTGAGCTGCCCCTTGGGAGCTTGGCTCCCCGCCTCAGAAAGCTACTGGCCGCTCATGGGGCTAGATTTCCCTCCTGGTCAGAACGATGGGGTGACAGTCTGGAGACCAAGGAAACTGCCCACGGAGTTCACAATTAACTTCAGTTCCCAAATATGAACCATCAAAGCTCCTCTCTCCAGAGCCAGGGGAGAATGAACCTAGGAATAATTATCAAATGGACATCAGATTCCAATTAGGTGGCCAGCAGTGGGCAGGGCACGTGGGAGGATCAGTCAGCATAAAAGGAGAGGGTCACTCAGGGTAACACGCATCCTCACCCTGCACCCCAGGGTTTCTCAGCCTGGGCACTGCTGGCTTTTGGGGCTGAATAACTCGTCTGTGAGGGGCCGCCCTGTGCACACGGAGTGAGGGCTGCAGCATCCCTGCGTGCAGGCCGGGAGGGCTGCCTGTCCTCCTCACCCGATGCCAGCAGCACCGTCCCACTCCAGCTGGGGGGACCAACATGTCTTCAGACAGGGCCCAGGGGCCCCTGAAGAACAAAAGCCACCCCCTGGTGAGAACTCCATCCTCGCCCTGCATTTCCAGGTCGGGCTAGTTGCCCCTCTGCCCCTGCCCAAGGGGGGTACACACAGGCACCACACAGAGGTTGGGCGTTGCCCGATCTTCATCGCAGGGGGCTCCCTGAGTTTCCCATGTGCCAAGCAATCCAACTTCCTGGGACAAGTCTACCTGAAAAATAACACTATCAGATTTAAAAAAATAACAATCTGTCCACAAGAAGCTCCCTGGAAGGCTGGGGCCATACATAAAGAAGTGCCCCCAAAGCAGGTTGAAGCCTGAAGTGGAACCCAGCCGGGCTGGCCAGGGGCGAGGGCTGCAGCAGCCAGGAAGCACACACCACTGCCCCTGGGGGTTATTTCCCTCTAGGTGATGGGGAGAAAGAAGGCAGAGAGGTTCCCGGAGTGCATGCAGGTCACTTTGCAATAAGGGAGGACAGGTGGGTACACCGCCATCATCTCTCCTCTGCAGAACAAAATTCCCAATGGACAGCTTTCTTTGCACGCAAAGAAAAAGAAACCGTATTCCTGTGTTTTGATTAATTTGAGGCTCGTCCTTGAGGGCTCTGAAATGAATGAGCAGACTTTTCCGTGGCTGACTGTCCTGGCCGCCGGGCCCTATCGGCAAAAGCTTAGTGTTTATTTACTTTTGCTCGTGTTATTTTTATTTCAGTTCAGCTGCAGCTCAGTGCGGAAAGCGTGGGGGAGGTGTATATAAAGAGTACTGAGACCGGCCAGTACTTGGCCATGGACACCGACGGTCTCTTATACGGCTCAGTAAGTATGAGACTGACATGCTTCCAGAGGTGGCCAAGGTTTGAGGTTTCCAGAAATTTTGTTACGTTGAGTGATGCAAACTATTAGGCAACAATTCGTCTCTGTTTGTTATTTTTCCGGCAGGATTCTCACCCTCCACCCTGCCTTATTTTAAAAACAAACGTAAGTGTTTCTTGCAGTATTCTCTCAAAATACTCAAACGTATTATCACATACACATAGGGGAGACATTGATCAAGATTTTGGTAACTCACTGGCCACTCATTTCAGAATTCCTAATCCCACTTGATTCGTTCATTCCAGAAAGGTTCCTTGAGCACTGCCATTTGCTATTGGTGTATCCTCTATGCCTTTTACAAAAAACTGCAGAGCCCAGAAGCCAGTAGTTGATATGTCATGCATACAGCTTTGAAAACAGCCCTTTTATTCTGGAAGAGGCACCTAAAAGGACAAAAAGCTTAATAACTTAATTCAATGCACATCGATCAAATGCTTCCTGGATCTAAGTACAGTTAGGTACTGCAAGGACGTCAAGATGAATGAGCCACATCTCTGCCCCTGAGAAGCATATTCTAAGAGTTGATTTAGTCGCTAAAAACCTCCACATTTCCTAGTTAATGTGTCACATAGGTTTGATTCAATAGATACTGGCCTTTACAGAAAAGAATAGAAATAAAAGCAGTCTGACTTTGCCCATTGGTATCTTCAGTAAAAGATGTGAATGGAAAGACAGCTGAAGCCAATGGCCCTAGGTTTTTAAATTATTTCTGGATTTCAATGATATTTTCTCTGTATCCTCACAAATGATAATTAAGGCTTGGCCAAAAACCCCTTTCTTTCCTTTTATGAAGATGTCTATAAAAAGAAGCCACTAGGGGATTTTAGTCTGGGGCTCCCTTGAACTTATATCCAATTGCCAAGTGGCATTGGGTGCAGAAAAACCCTCTCTTTGAAGTGATAATGTTAGCCAGGGTTTGGGAGGTGAAAACAGTTCCGTTTTTTCACGCTGCCCTCTAGGGCTCAGAAGACGAGATTGCCAGAGTGATAGGCAGCCTCTAGAAGGCTGTCTGCTGACACACGGATCAACCCGGACAACTTTAAAGGGTTTGGAGGCAGGCAGGACAGCTATATAGGGAGCAGAATGTTTTTAAAAGGTGGTTCTTCCACTTGGTAATAAAGTCAATCAGCCAATCAATTATTCAGTCTCGGGTTTGCAATTGAATCTCATGCCTCTGCACTTCGGCAAGTTACTCGCCCACTCTGAGCCTTGTCTAAAATGAGGATAGTAATGGACGATAACTGCTGCAGACAGGGTCAGCAACACACGCACGAACCCACCCACCAGCGTGGTGGGCAGGCATCAGAAATGCGCCATCAATGGCTACAAGACCAATAACCAGTTTATGAATCCCTGACTCTCATTATTTTTTAGGTTATAGGTTACAGTTTTAGGGCTTTTCCTCCTCTAAATCAGTTTTGATGTTTACTATAACCTTCTTCCTCTCATAAAATATTAATCTGATTTCCTCTAGGCTCCAGATATCCCTTCGCCACCACAGTCCTGGCTGTCACTATAAGTCACCTCTGAAATATTCAGAGGGCAATCTTAATGTGTTATGTCTAATATTTTTTACATTTCCCCATTGGTAGAGAGAAGTCCTAAAATATCTCAAAGCTCTTCCTCATGTTCTTAACCGATTTTAAGTAACATTCCATCCTGATACAAATTTGTGTGTATGTGTGGAAAGGACAGACTTATTTTTAAAAATAAATTTGAAAGGCTATATACCAAAACATTAATATATTTATCTCTGGGGGTGGTAGGCGGCTGATATTATAATAGTGAATGCCTTCCTGTATTTTCCAAATTTTCTGCAGTGAGTCTATGCCACCCTGTAACCGGGGGAAAAGCAGCATACTAAATATAAAAGAGAAAATAATTAAAACAATAGGATGAATCAACTGTTGATTCCTCAGGCCCTAGACATTGCACAGAGCACGTAACAAGCACTGACAGAGCCTGGCTGAGGGGTGGACAGAGCACCTCCGATTCAGCCTGCTGACTCATCCTGTGACTCAGCCCTTCTGTGTGTGTCAGCTGCTCTAGTGTGACAGAGAAATCAGGTGGGGGACATGGCCATCCTCAGCTTTATCACAGCACACAAGCCTGACGCCCACTAAAGGGCTTTGTGGGATGAGCCCTCCTTATAGGGAGTGGGCAACCCACACAGGGCCAAACTGCTTGCCTTCTCCCACCCCGACAGTGTGCATCAAACACTAAGTTCTTCTAGAGGAGCAGAGTCACCCAATTAAATATTACATCTATGTCCTGTCTTGTTCTAAAACGGTCTGAAGTGTCTCACCCAGGTGTCATTGCACTAGGCTACAAATGAGTAAGAAGCAGGGGACTTCCTGTCACACAGTTCCTTACTAACCAAAGATAGCTTTACTGATCCCAGGAATCAAATTAAGTTCACCACCTAGCCAAAAAGCACATATTATTTGCAAGGCTCTGGGTCTGGGGTGCAGACATAAGGCTGACAAGGTTCCAACTCTTCTCTCAGTAGGGCTCACAGACTAACAGACTAGCATGCCCACAAATAGAGAACAATGAACAACAGGATTAGAAACCACCAGTACAGGAATCACCAACTGCTGCGGGTGCTGAGTACAGTGATCACATGACTTGGAATTGGAGCAAAGTCAATACACAACATAAGTATTTTAATACACCTGTGCTATTTCCAAGTATAATAAGGGAATTTTAAAATCCTGACAAAGTTCAAATAAGTGGGGCTCCTCCAACTCTCTAGCAGATGAATTTCAAGGAAAAAAGTAATTGTTGGTAGATATTTTTTAAGTGGATGCACTATTTAATATGCTGTAGCCATCTTTCTGGTCTAACAAATGTAAAGCCGCATTGGATTCCACTGTATGGATATACCGCTACCCACTTAACCAATCACCTTGCCATGGACATTTAGATTGCTTCCAATTTGTTACCATTAAGTCCAATACTTCAAAATACCGTCCTCGAAAATACAGTTTTATACTTGCTCAACTATCTCCTAAGGGTCCATTCCTAGAAATAAAACTGCTGGGTCAAAAGTAATGCATATTTAAAACTCTGATACATATTGCCAAACTACCCTCAAACTTCTTGCCAGCTTTTCTCACCAACAGTGCATGAAGGTTTTTCCCACACTGTATTCCCATCACCAAAAAAGTATTATTAGTAGGTTACCATTTATTCTTCAAATCCAAACTTAGAACATCCCATGGCTTTACAGTCTGGTTTTGCTTATTGGATGTTTTCCATATGCCAGGCCTCTTCAGAGAGAACCGGCCCAGCCTTGCCCTTCAGGTGCTTGCAGTCATTTCAGGGTCTCCCCAGTGGGAGACTCTTGGGTCCTGAGGTCAGCAAATGGGAGAGGAATTTATGAAAATAGGAAATGTATTTGCAAGCTCATTATGTGTTGGCTCCTGTTCTAAGTCCTCATTACCACCCTCAGAGATGGATCACATTACGATCCCAATTTTACTGAAGATGAAACAGAGGCACAGAAACAAAGCCTCAGTTCCTTGGCCAAGGTCACACCGCTAGTGAACGGAGCAACCAGGTTTAAAACCACTCACTAATAGTTCCATTCTTTTTGCTTTTATCTTTTTAGCAGACACCAGATGAGGAATGTTTGTTTCTGGAAAGGCTGGAGGAAAACCATTACAATACCTACACGTCCAAGAAGCACGCCGAAAAGAATTGGTTTGTTGGCCTCAAGAAGAATGGAAGCTGCAAACGTGGTCCTCGGACTCACTATGGCCAGAAAGCAATCTTGTTTCTCCCCCTGCCAGTCTCCTCTGATTAAAGAAATCTGTTCTGGGTGCTGGCCACTCCAGAGGGGCCTGATGGGGTGCTCACCTGGTTGACCCCAGATTGTGCCCTTGACCATCGGCTGCGCTAACCCCTGGTCCACAAAACCTGAATTTGTAAGCAATGCGCTTCTAAATGCCCAGTTCACTTTTTTTGCAGAGCCCTTTACCCCAGCACAGTTTGGAAGCGAGCGACCAAATTGCTTCTAAGGGCCAACTGGCTGGCCAGTCTGGGTCTGGTTTGGATGTCCAGTTGCCTCTGGGCATCTGCTACAGGCTAAGCCCCTCAATGCAAGGGTGGGGCTAAACGAAGCATGTTCAGGAGGCAGCCAAGTGGGTTATTAGCAAGTGCATATGATTCCCTCTGCTGAGTAGATCCTTCCTGTGGCTCCCCACACACCTGGCACGACTCCCTTCTGTCCTTTCACTACCCCACAAGTGTTAGCAGGGAAGCAATGGCTAGACAGGAGGAAGGCAGCATTCCGCGAGAGAAACAGGGACGAAGAAACCCCCTCTCAAGAACGGAGGGGATTAAAGTGGCAAGGGGAGATTGGATTCTGGTGGACAGCTTAGAAGGACAGGATCTCAATGCAGAATAAATGAAGGATGGGAGGCTCAGCCACAGGAAAGCAAAATAAATGCGCAGCCTTGGGAGTTGTTAACCATGCCTTGAATTTCCCAAGGTTATCCAGCAGCAGAAAGCCCCCCGGTGTCAAGTGGGAAGCATGAGAAGTGGGTTCTTGATAAAAGCAAGGACACCGGATGTTGGTAAATTCATGTGGGTCTGGGGTGGGTGTGGGGGTGATGAAAAAGGAAGGGAAACATGGGCTGAAGGGAATGTTATCTTCTAGAGGATGATTCCACACATGAGAGGGTAAGAGAAAGGGGCACCATGACCTGTGCTTAGTCACCAGAAAGCAGAGACACTGGGGTCCTAGGGCAGTGTTTACAAAGCACACTGGGTGTTTGAGTGCCGTTTCCGGCTCAGTGGGTCTGGGGTAGGTGACATTTCCCACAAGCTCCCAGGTGCTGTAGATGCTGTGGCCGCCCCCCACCATACTTTAAGGTCCTGAAAAATGTTTTTCAAATGAAGGTGGCCCCACCCCCCACCCCCTCTAGCTTCACCATTAAAGAACACACACCCACCAGCCTTCCTGAGCATTTAGGCAGCCTTGGCGGCAGCTGTAACTATATTAAGGAGGGTGGATTTAAGGCACTTTGGCCCAATGCCTATAAAGTGCCCATTTAGAAGATATACGAAAGCATCCTTCAAAAACGTTAAACCCTCACCAACAACTTTTCCCAAGAGACCATTGTGTGACGATTACTTGTATAAATATGCTTCCTGCTTAAAGTAAACTTGACCCAAGCGACTAGCAAATTAGAAACACCATTCATTTCTGACATATGATACTATTGCCATGTAAGGGCCTTTAATAAGCCATTTAAATTTACATGAGACTGTTTTAATCACATTTTAAAACTATAGCTCAAAGGCTACTAAAGTGATTAGCATTCAGCTACTGAGAATAATTGGATATGATGAATAAGCTCCTCAATTATCTACCACTTAAACTACATTTACCTATGAGATTTTTCTTTGTTTTCCACTGTGCTGTTACAAATTTTTCTTTGAAAATGGGGACTCTTAAGCAACGCTATCATAATTGTGGATAAAAATTGATGAGAGTGTTAGCCCCTGTTATAAAGAATTGAAGTAATTATTAATTGAGAAATAACTCCTTAGTAATTGAACTGTTGTATTTAGAATGGGAGAAAAATGACGTGCTGTGGAAGTTCAAAGCAGTAGTTTAATTGAGGAATTGAACTAAGTTAACACTATGGTTAATAATATCATTCTGCATTGGTCCAGAAAAACAATTTCATAACAGTTTTTGTTTTTGTTAACTTGGATAAGATGATTCTATTCTATTTTAGTACATTTTTGCAGGTAAGTTGGGGACAGTACAGAATGGTTTAACATCTTTTTACTATGAAGATGTTTTACTATGAAGATTTGGCCAGAAAAAGGTACCCAGAGAGGAAATCCAAGGTATTTATTTGGTCCAGAATTTTCAGTGTATGAATCAAATTCAAGTCAACATTGACCAAGAAAAATTAAATACTGTTGCTAATAGATGAGATGGAATTCAAGACCCAAAGCATTTAGAAGAAACCCTATTGTGACCTTGGCAACTGCAGTCCAGTCATTCTTCGTGTAGTCATTCAGTGAATATTTATTAAGTGCTTACTGTGTGCCAGGCCCTGTACTGGGTCCTGGGGCCCCTGGAAACCTTGTCTGTCTGGTTTGCTGCTGTTCTCTCCTAGGGCATTATATTTATGATGAAAGATGCTGTGCATTCATTTCTTTCAGTCAAGTTAAAACACAGACTTTGTAGGTTCCTGCTGAATAAATAGCAAGTCCCAGCAACCCACATTTTGGAAGTTAGCAACACCCAGAATAAACAAATCCCTGCCAAAGCATCAGGGGACATGACAAGGTAAACCTAACATTTCTAACTGTAGAACCATGTCGGTGTCAAGGCAGGACTTTTCAATCAGGCAAAGAGCCTGCCTGGTCCAGTGGAAGGGGACAGTGGGTGGTTCCCCACTTTGTATCCAATGGGCTCTAGTTCCCCTGCATGGAGCACTCCTGTCCCTCGCTCTCTGCCTTGAGCAAGCCTTGTAGCCATCTGCGGGTCAGGCGCCTCTCATGGGGATTCATTTTCAGCCCGTTGTTTAGAGTTGCCTGCCATTCTGTACAAAGCACCAGGAGCATATATACTTTTCACTGTTCCCAACGTGGAGGGGGAGGTGGCGGCCCCGTCCTGGAAGGGATGATAATCAGAGCCTCCTATGGCCAACAGCGTGTACTTAAAAAAACTGACTGGAACGTGATGTGTTGCTGGCGATCAAGGTCTTTGCCTTGTGTCAGAGGCAATGGAGCCCAGGGCCTCAGCTTTGTAGAACATACTGCCTAAACCACCCAAGCTCATGGCTGCAAAGCAGACCTCTGATGAAGAGGATGCCTGTCATTTTACATCACTGTCTCTTTACTTTTGCACCTTGCAAGTATTAATAAATGTCCCACTGCTCGGTGACGATGTCTCTCTGGGTGTCCGCGCATCACGGCGTCTCCGCTTCCCGCGAAGGCCTCCGCTGGTATCCCGGAGGTGTGGCCGCTTTTATCTCCAGATAGGAGGTTTTAAAGGCTGACAGGAAAAGCTACGGTAGAAACACTTTTCATTCTGTTTGGAAACCTAAGGCAACATTGGTGCCTTTCTAGGGCTCCGTTAGGGACGTCGCATCAGGAAAGTTGCCCCCCACTCCCCGAAGAGCAAAGCAACATCACTAATGCAACCGACACATTTTCTTCATAGTATAAATCATGCGAAATGATGCTACTATTGGTGAGTTGACCAGTTTGTGCTTCGGCAAAGATATGGTGACCTGAACAAAAACTTTAAGGTCTTGGTTCAATTTTAAGTCAATGGCAAGAGGTGCCTCTGTGGCATCTCAAGAGCCTCAGTGCAGGGCTATAGGTTCACCCATCAGATTTTCTGAAAATATTATACCAAGCAATGTCTCCTTCTGAATGTTCTGCCTTCTCACTTGTAGGAGAAAGTACACTATTGCCTAGACTCCATGGCAGAATCAGATCACACATGTGCACACACACACATGTTCACACATGTCTATGCACATACACTTGCTTGCACACATGCACACTCACATAGGCACATGGATCTTTAAAAAAAACCAGTTGGGTGGTGTTTGCTCACTGCTCATTCTACACCAAAATCGAGGCCTCCTTTTCATTTTACAGTTGCCGAAAGCAGTATTTTTCTACTTTTTAGAGCTCGATCCACAGTAAGAATTACATTTGCAACACAATCCAGCATGTGCAGGCCCTTGTACATACACACCATGGAAACAAAAAATGTCGCAAAACTATATATATCAGATGTGCTCAGATTTTTCTATTACATCCCACTGAAAATTGCTTGTCAAAGATCCATTAAACTGGCTCATGACATTAAAAGGTCACAACCGCAGTTAGAAAAACATCAGCTTAACGCAACTGTCTTCTTTCCCAAAGACGAGACCAATTAGGATCTTGTATTAGGGTTTTAGTGTTTTCAAAGTCATGATTTGTTCGAAGACAAGGGGACATTCTGTTACCCAGGAACCACCTGTTCTGAGGGCTGGGTGAATTCTTTTAGCTGGTTTACTACTGATCACGCAAAATAAATGAGATGTTGCGCACCCCACAGGCACTCACTGCTGCCTGCAACTCAGGTCTCAGCAGACGCCCCGGCAGAGCCCTGGGGGCCTGACCCCTCCCCTTCTTTGGAATTTATCTCTTGGGTCTTGAGGCCATTCCCTCCCTGACTCCCACGATTTTCACTTCATTCTTCTCTCGCGCCCCTCCCCCCCACAATTTCTCTTTCATAACCATTTCTAAACACGACATGAAAAGTAGACTGAGTCAGGAAAAGACTAGAAACCCAGAACCTCTGAGCATAAAATTCACTCTAAATTCCAATCAGGGAACTCAGAGCCTGAGATGTGGGGATGTGACATTGGGTATCCAGTCCCCAGTGATCCATCTATCATTCTCTCAGGTTACAGGGAAAATGCACTAACTGACTGCTTGGATCTTTCTGTAACATTGTATCCACTCTGCGGTTGATATATTGACCATGACATACTGCACTGTTAGCTTTCCACCCTAGTTATAAAATTAAAAAGAGAAAGCAGGTCACACACAGCCTGAAGCTACAGGGTGGATTTGCTTTATAAAATGCATATACTGTAGGACCTAGTTTTGGGGTCTTCTGATGGGTCTGAGAATGCTTGTGATGTGGGGAGGAGGTAGTTCCTGAATTGCTTCCTTCCCTCTTAGCTACCCACGGTCACACAGCCTAAATTTACACATTCAGCAGCTAGACATTGGTGTCTGTTTTATTGCATAAACAAGCAAAAACCTCACTGCATCCTTGATGCACTTTTCTATCAGCCTTAATGAGGGGCCGGGAACTCCTTGTTCAGAACTGTGTTCAGTTTCAGGATTTGATGCACTCGGCTGCAGTGCGTAAGCACGTAGGTGTACACAGGCAACTTGTGCAAATCATTACAGAAACACACATCACTATGATTTTCATATTTCATGTTTTTTTTCTTGCCTTAGAAGAAAATTTTTTTAGTCTTACCCAGAGATGCACAAGAGCAAGATGTTAGATTACTGATACACTTTAGCTCCAAACTTTTTCTCCAAAATAAGTCATAATAGTTTTCCTATAGGCTAATTTGTGTGGACTGTAAAAATTGGGCTGTAGGTAGTCTGGGAATGTCAACTGTGTTAAGAACTCAGTAACTTCCTGTAGAAGTGAATAGTACCATCTATGGCATTCTCAAAGTAGGACGCCTGCATTAGGAATCCTGATTCTGACCTGGGAAGTGGTGCTGGTTTTTGAACTGGCCAGGTCATTTCTAATAATACAGGATAAAATCACAAATCCCTGGTGGCTGTGCAGAGAGGGCAACTGAAAGAAGAACTTGTTTCTTGATCCTTGATGTTAGGGGACTCTGTCATATAATATTTAACCGACGTGAGCAAGAAAGATGGGTTTTATAAATTGCCAGAAAATGTGTAACTCCCAAGCAACTTGACCATCTGGGAAGAGTTTGACAGGGCAGAGGGCTACTCCATCCAGTCCAGACCTCAAGAATAGACAGTAACAATAAGTTGAAAATGAGGCATCTTTCCTCAGTTCCCTCACTCACTCATCTATTCATTTATCATTTATTGAGCATCTAGCACCTGCTTAGTTATGGCCCAATCAGGAGACAGAGATCACATCGATAATTTGAATGGGATAACTTTAATAAAAAGAATTACCAACTAGTGAAAAGAGATGAACTACTCAGAGGGGTAAAGAGATCTCTAAAGAATATTGGAACAGCAGCTACTCTCCTCAAGCCTGAGGATAGAACTCAAGGAAGGAGCTTACTTGGGAGAAGGTCTTCTGACCTCACTGGCAAAGGTGTGGTTGTGGCCCACAGGACGGCGGGCGGATGATCTCACGGCAGGGCCTCGGGAGTTCCCCACAGGGAGCAGCTTGCTGGGGTGCCAGCATAACTTGCTGGAGGTTGTGCAGCACTAGGTTTCCTGCAGGAAGCTGCCCACTGGCCACTGCGCTGTAGGAATAAGAAGAGAACTACAGGAATCCCAAAGAAAAGCCCCTTCTTCTTGCAGGATCCCTCCAATGCTCTCTACAGACAAACCGTAAGGTGCATCAGCTGGCAAAGGGGAAATGTGTACAGGCTCCAGCTCCAGTATCATAAAATAAGGCAAAGAAGAATGGATTTGGATCACATAGGCAATAAATTGGCAACTGGCAAAACCATGATTTAGATACTCTACTAGCCACAGTATTAAAAGATGGATAAATGTGGTCATTGCCCTTAAGAAGATTATAGTAGTAGAGAAAGTCTCTAGATGAAAGCATCAATTTGGGGGGCTTGCTCCCTTTTAAAAATGCTCTTTCTAAATCCCCCTGAGCTTCTCCAAAGGCCATTCATTTATTTAAAGTACTTTCTTTAGATTTTAAGTTGTTAATGAATTTAACTCAATGTAATGTACAAATCAATGTAAATCCCACATACAGAAGAAGGTAGCTTTGGAGTCGGGTTGGCAGAGTTCAAATTCTGGCTCCTCCATTTCCTGACTGTGTCTTTGGGGAAGTTCCTTAACCTGTCTGCTCTCCACTTCCTCCCCTCTGGAATGAGCAGACATTCAGTGCCAACCTCACAGGCTTGTGGAGAGGACCGAATGAGATGGAGGCATGGAAGTATTTTTAACACAGTACCTGGCATATGATAAGGACTGAATAAACATTTGCTATTATTTTTATAATAAATATAATCACACATATCACATACTGATAAGATAGAGCTAAAAATGATCTTTCAGATTTCCATTTTGGGTCCCAGTGATTTTCTTTATGAATCCACATTTGGAGGGAAATTGCTTCACAGCAATTCATTTGAACAAGGGATAATAACATTGACTGACTCCACGCTTACTTCTATAAGGCAGAGATTATGGGATATAATTGTCTTACTGTAATGTGAGCAGGTTAGTCCACATCTAGGCTATTGTATCTCATTCTAGATGCTGTTTATTAAAAGGAATTTTATAACTTTAAAAAAGTTATGTGAAAACTAATAGATGAATAGTAAGGAACCATAGAAAAAACAAATAAAAAAAAACAAAAGAAACTAAGTGTGTTTAGTTAAGAGAAGATTTAAAATGAGATATTATAATTCTCCCCAGACAGTTCAAAGGTCCTTTTGTTTTCTTGCTCTGGGAATCAAATGAGTATAGGTATTTGGAACCTGACAAGGAAGTGGTTTTTGTTTCAATATAAAGAAACAATTTTTTTCTAACAACTACAGTCATTCCAGCCATGGTCACTAGCACATCCACATGTAGTGACTGAGGTCTGCCAGTCCTGGAGATTTCCATACAGAGCCTGCACGCACGCCTGGGGTCTACTCGGCAGTGTGGCACCCAGGACCCCCTTCAGAAGTGACCCTCCCAGCTGCTGAGAGTATTAACCTGCTGACAGGCCTTCACCATCAGCACCTCGGTGAAGAAAGCTGCCGTGCCCCAGGGCACGCCCCTCCAAGGTGATGCACATAGGTGCCCAACTGCCTGGCCCCTATGCTTCAACTCTGGACAGCCCTGCAGGATCGTCCTGGTGTCAGAAGTTCTCATAAAGTCAGCCGAGGCCTCTGCTGAGAATGCCTCCACCTCTCCTTCTGCCCTAACCTGCTTCCTTCCCGTCCACAGGTGTCCATCCCAAGATCCCTGAGAAACCTCCCGCACGCTGATCTTCATCTCAGGGTCCACTTCTCAGGAAACTAGCCTGTGACAATACCCACCCAGGACACTGGAGGTGCTGCCCTGAGCAGGCTAACCGCAAAGGTCCCCTACAGCCCCGTGACTCTGCGGCGTCTTTGGTCTTTTGAAACTGAATGTTCTAAGTCCGCAAAGTTCATGTACAATCCATGTGGCTGATCCTCAAGAGAAATCTCAGCCT